CATACTAGTACTTTTTAAGTTAAACAAGGTTGTTATATAGTATTAAAATGATTTGGTATATAAATAAGTAAAGTAAATGAGGTTTAGAAACTCAAACTTAGTATTTAATTAGAGAATATGCTTAGTAATACTGTATACTTGTATACAGTGTATACGGAAATTTTTTACTTATGGTATATGCATATGTGTGTAAATATACACCTGTATTTTCAGCTAAAATTTTCTCTTACAATACAGTGTGTAAGTGTATACACTGCAGGCATATCTGTAAATTATGCTACAGTGTGGAGCACTAGATTTCAGATTGCATGTTTGCATATAAAAGCATGGCCTGTATGTTTTATTATTGTGGTCTAATCACAAAAATCTAATGACTATAACACAGTGCTGCATTAGGGTCTCTCATAATTGGATTTATCATTGCAGAAAGTAATGCTAAGTCACACACTTGTCATTCGTCCTTTGCCCTCACTTCATCTATAGCTATTCTCTCACTTTGGACGTGGGCAGTGTGGATGAGGTCAAGAGCCATTGGAATTGGTCTAGCTGTTGCCTTCATAACAATTTGCAGAAGTAGCCTAGTGATAACTGGTCTTTTCTTAAATACTATTTCATGTAAGTTATAAATTTCAAGCGATTTGTTCTGTGTCTTGTACTTACAAAAGATCGACTCTGCTTTATTGTTAGTCACACCATTGCATGACTGTATCCCTGGATGTTTTCTAAGCAATGGTAGTGAAATCGTGGTTTTCAACTGGGTCTATCTTATGGACTACTATGAGGCTGGTAAATTAAGCTGAAGTAATTCACAAAGTTTGTTCACTCAGGCTGATGCTGTCAATGTCATTTAGGAGTTTTGATACTAATGTTAATTAAAGCATTTCAAATACAGTGAAACCTGTCATTAAGCATGACCCACCGTGGACAGGTGAGGCCATGCTTAATAAGAGGTTATGCCTGTTGACAGTGGCTTAAGTAAAGTAATAAAATTTCCTTATTTGTAGTACATAACTCAATAATACATTGTCTACTTAAAAAACAACCAAATATCAGTCTGTTCAAGAGAACTATTTATTTTCTTGCATAGGTTTCTTGTAAGCTTTGGAAAAAGTGCTCTAGCCTCAGTAAACTCAGCACTAATCTCACTCTGAAAGAGTGTATTGAGCTTTGAAAGTAATTGGACAGCCTCCACATAGCTTTTAATGCTTCAACTTCAGTACTTTGCCATGGGCAGGCATCACGAAAAAGTCGCAACACTTGTATTAGATTATAACCAGGTATATTTTATACTTTTTGTAAATTTTGTTGAAGCAATTATATTCTTCATAGGGGTTTTCACAAGTTAATTATAATTATATACAAGTATAATGAGAATCTAGAACAATTATTGAAATTACTGATATTAATTATGATTGTACATATTGTCAAGATATATAAGTGATTATAACATACCTCTCAAAATAATAATGTTAAAATATACTTATTATTTTTTGACAGTATAGTATTGTCTTACAATATATACAAGTCATTACAAGCATTTGGATAGCTTGCTTTTGCTTTACATGCAATTTTGTATCAAATAATTAATAAAATGTAATTATATTTGATTATTTAATACAAAAAGATAGTGAATATTATATTATTTCTACGGTCCCAATCCCTGCACCACTAGCAGCCTCTGTCTCGTTCTTCTGTAAGCAGAATTCTCATCGGTAAAGGATTAACACGTTCTTGGGCTGTAC